CACTCTTTCCTGCCTATGCAGGGGGTCAGACTTGATGATCTTTTGAGGTCCCTTCCAACCCTAACATCTATGAATCTGTGAATGCACCAGTTCTGACTCTGTGTTACATTCAGTGCTGGGTCCCGTACATCATGCAGGGTTGATCCACAGCTGTATGATCCCATATGGATCATACAGTTCTACAGGCTAGCTCCAGTCGACAGGTCATACATTTGACACCCCTCTTCTAGATATACTGGCCCAAGTGCAACTCCTCTTTTTGCAGGTCAGTGCCACTTATACAGCTGACTTCAGCTATGTAAGAGATATTGTGAGCCACTGAAGCTGATTTTTAGATGTTACGTACCCTGTACAACTCATTGGATCTTTCTGAGCATTTAACAATGGTGTGCTACAGCCACTTGTGCTCTGTTGTTAATCTTATTTCACCAGTATAGGAATGTGTAGGTCTCAGACATGGTAGTCAGAAAAATTATGATTAGCAACTGTAATACCAAATGAGGAGGAGAAACCCCTATCCTCCCCTTCCCATGTTTTAATATAATAGGTTAGGCATATCCAGGGAGTTAGAGACCCAAGTTGAAGGACCAACTCACCTAGAGAGGGGGTTTGAAATTACATCTCCCTCAACCTAGCAGAGTGCCCTAATAATTAACCCATGGGCTGCGTTTCCAGGAATACCTTTCTATTGAAGCTGACCCACTGGACAGACAAGGGGGGAAGATGCCAGTAAGCCAGAAAGAGAGTGTCTTATAAAAATAGTTCCTGCTGTGAACAGAAGGAGCACTGAGTTCCAGTGGGGCAGAATCTATCCCATTGATGTCTCTCCTTTTTGTCCACTTCCTATTAAATGCAAACTGCGGAAATGCCACTGGGGCATTTGCACAGTAATAAAATTTGGACGGCTGAGGTATGGAAATGGAAGGAGCAGTCCCTGTGACTGGCCCAGGCAAGATACTGCCTCTCAATGACCACCATTCAGCTTCAGAATATTAAAGATAAACATGCCCTGGACTCGATTTAAACATTAGCATATTTTACCTAACAGATGCCATTTAGAATTTTACAGCCCAGCTTCTTTTTCACCTGTCAGGTATTTAAGGATTCAGATTCTGCTCATCACAACATTGTTCATCCCTCTGAGAAAAGCAGTCCTTCCCTGCCCTTTGAGAGAATTGGGGCTCTAATATTCTTACAAAGTCTGGTTTTGTTCTGCCCCAGGAAGGCTTATCCCATCAGAAAGCAGCCTTTGGTGCCTGCAAGGTAAATAAGCACTAAGCAATAGGTCTGTGCAAATGGGGGAGTATTCAATTCAGATTTGGCCGATTTCGAATCGCTGTCCTGAATCGATTCAGCTGAATCAGCTTTACAAGATCCAATGCTGATTTAGAGAGATTTGGTGATTCGGATTGGCCGGGGAGAGGCAGGCACAGCCAGGTGGTTGCAGGTTCTCCCACAGCTCCTCTAGCTGTGCCTGCCTCTCCCCAGGTTGGGGGAGCCGTGAGAGAATCTCCCATGGCTGTCCTGGCCAGCCCCATCCCCTGCCCGACCCTAGCCTAGCCCTGGCATTTTTTTTTAAAGCCCCTCACCGGCTGCAGGAACAGTGATTGGGGCTTCTGGGTATTTGTGACAGTTTCTCCCCCCCCCCCCCCCC